ACCATACACAAAAATTAACTCTAAATGGATCAAAGACCTAAACATAAAACCTCAAATTATGAGAATCTTAGAAAATGCAGGAGACATCATTATGGAAATTGGAACTGGCAACCAATTCCTAATCAAAACCCCAAGTGTCCATGCCATAAGACATAAGAGATAAGAGATGGGACCTCATCAAACCGCCAAGCTTACGCAAAGCAAAAGAAACCATCAAGAGAGCAGGAAGACAGCCCACAGAATAGGAAAAAATATTTCTCAACTGTATATCTGACAAAGGCCTAACATCTAGGATCTACAAGGAACTCAAATGCACCAAAAAGAAAAAAACAAACAGACCCATTAAAAAGTGGGCAAATGCCAGGCTCGGTGGCTCAGCCTGTAATCCCGCGTCTTTGGGAGGCTGAGGTGAGTGGATAGTCTGAGCCCGCGGGTTCGAGACCCACCTGGGCAGCGAGACCTCATCTCTACAATAAATCAAAAAATCAGCCGGGCGTGGTGGCGCATGCCTGTAATTCCAGCTCCTTAGAAGGCTGAGGCAGAAGGATCGCCGGAGCCCAGCAGGTCGAGGCTGCGGTGGCCGGGAGCAGCCACTACACTCCAGTCTGGGTGACAGAGTGAGACTCCAACTCAAAAAAAAAAAAAAAATGTGTGGTTTATTTTCTCTTTTAAGGTGTGGGTTTTGTTTTGTTTTAGAATTATCTTTCCCTATGATAAGCTCCTTTCTAGTAGCTAGAAGAATTATTATAAAGAACTAAAAGTCTAGTTTTTTGATGTCTTTGTCTCAAGTCTTAATTTCCTAGTGATGTATTATGTTGGGGCTTGATTATAATTTTGTTCATGTTATCTAAAGTTATCAGTTGAGGAGGACACACACAGTTAGCTGTTAACAGTTAGCTGTGCTAGCCCCTGGGAGCTTTAATAGCAGGATAAATGAAAACCTGTGTCATGTCACCCAGAAAGATGCATTTGGCAAGATAAGGGAGCATGCACCTACTCTAGTGCAAACTCAAAAGTGTTTTATCTCTTTTTGTTGTCCAGCCTTAGGAAGAACTGGACCTGAGGATCCTATCAATGATTATGAAAAATTCAAATGTAGCTTTTTATGGGAAGACCCCAGGTTATTGCAAGGTTGTAGAGAATGGTTTCATATCCTGGTTTGTCTGTAATTTAATATATGACCTTGGACATATATTTGAATCTCCACTTCCTCTTCAGTCTTCATTACAGATCAGTGAGATAGCACCTGGAACACACTAGCACCACAAAGGTGAAGTCTTCTCTCCCTTCCTCTCATAATTGGGGAAGTACATGAAAACATATAGCAAAAGATTGAAGACCATTGAAGATACACTCCCTTTTCAGTTTATTGTTCACTTTTTTTTTTTTAAGCATTCTGACTAGTTGGTTTTATTGTAATGGATAATAAAGATAAGATCTTAAAGTACCAGGGAAGGTCAGGGCCCTGGGCCACCCCAAGGTCCTGTGAAAGATTATTGGCTTCAGTGGAGCACAGCTCAGGGACATTATGTGCTGCTCTCCCAGTACAAAGACACCAGAGTTGGGGGTGTTCTCATGGCTGACACCAACATAGCTGCCACCTGAGTGCAGAAGCCAGAGGCAAGTAAACCACACATAGACCTAAGCCGTGTCAGCATGAGATAGCTGAGTTAGCTGAGGAACCGAGCAGGCACTCGAGGTCCCATGTCCAGGTAGAGGAAGATCAGAAGCTTCAAGAGAGTCATGCCATGGAGACTGGAGTCGCTTGGTTTGGTTTTGCTTCCCTGTCATAAGAAGGATGGGAAACCTGGAGGGCCAGGGGTTTCCTGACACCACAGCAACCTTCTCAGACACAGGGAAGTAGCGAGCAGGAGGGTCATGATCTCCCAAGGCTGCAGCTTGGGCTTACTGATCTGCAGAGAGAGCAGGACAAGGGAGCTGGGACTAAGGGGCAGCAAGGCAGGAGCGCTGGCACATGCTCTTGGTGCAGGGACCCAGGGAGTCCCGGCCTGTGAATAGAGACATCAAGTGGAGAGGCATGGGGTCGCCCCTCCCAGCTCTGAGAGACTGACTTCAGTGATGACCGAAGGACATTGCTCTGGGCAGTGCCATGCCTAAAACGGGGGAAAATACAAGGGAAATAAGTACTGTTGTTTCTAACTCTCATTTTTCCTTATAAAGTATTCTTTTTATTCCTTCCCAAACCATCACTCAGAACAACAGTCCTGATACAGACGTTCCTCGTCCTCACAGGCCCCAAATCTACAGGCCCCAAGCGAGTCCTCTGGCACTTTCTTGCATGGGGTATTTACAGGATCTGCACATGAGCTTACACCCTGGAGAGAGGAAGGCTGCAACTGTTATATAGAGAGAAATTTAGTTTAAGCAAAATGTACAGCTTTTGAGTCAGTGGTGTGTGGCTCTGGGCACTGTATGCCTTGCACATTGACTGGATTATTCTGCACTCTTGTTTTTCTGGAAGTCCTTAATTTCTTCAGGGTTAGACTATTTCCTGCTTCCTTTTGGACACTTGGCTACACTAGACGTACCTGAGAATCACATGCCTTATCCAGGACTGTGCTTGCTTTGGTCAGTAGACTTTATTGAGCAACTGCCAATGTGCCAGGCTCTTCACGGGGAGCTGGGCCCAGTCCTGGTGTCAAAGTGCCCGATGTCCCCTGGAGGTGGCTAAAGTAGAGAGGAATTGTAGACAACTAAAATGACTAAGCTTTTTGCTTAATGCTTTATTAATGTGGTGACTTCTAAAAATTGGCATTGAAAGAAATTAATTTGCTACATGTGATTTAATGCTTTTGTGTTTCTGTTTTAATGTGTACTATGGGATCTCTTTTTAGGTGTGTTTTTAAGTTATGTTTTTGTAAATGGTATGAAGTATGAACTTGTAAATTTCTTAGGGTATTGCTTGCTGTGTTGCAACAACGCTGGGTGCTGGCAACCAGCAAAACCTTTGCAAGAGGCTCTTTCCTCTGTGATCTTGGGCTTCGGTACCTCTTGAAGGGACCCTTGTTTTCATGGGGGACACTATGTGAGACTTGACCTTATGCTCCAAATTGATACAAGACTGCTCAGAATTGATCTGCTACTCGGAGCTTTTTTGGTGCTCGAACAGCTGTATGATCACAAATGTTTCTGTCATTTGAGTGGGGGTGGTTAGTGTTCCATGCATTAGCAGGATGGGCAGGAAGGCCACGGAACAATCCCAAGGGGAGCTCACTTGTTTAACCGGACTCTCCGTGTGGCGGTGGGACTGATGTTTGCAAATCCCAGTGCTGTGGAAGGGAGACCATGGCTCCGATGGGGGGTGCCTTTCTTTTCAGCTGGCTAACTGTGGCCCAGGATGCAAGAACCCAGATTTTTGGCAACATAAACTCAGGGATACACAGTGTTTGGAAAATAAGTTTGTGTTCTAGGAATTACTTTTGTTTCATTTTTCAAATCTCTGTGCCTTTTTCTATTTAATCCAGGTGCAACATTAGAGGAAATAAACCAGCACTGGGACTGGCTGGAACAAAATCTTCTCCACACTTTGTCTGTCTTTGATAATAAAGATGACATTGCCAGTTTTGTCAAAGGGAAGGTAAAGGTAGGTTTAATTGATTTTAATATTTCTCACTATCTTTCTTGGAACTTTCTTATGACATCTTGAACACTACAGCATACTAACAATGTTTCTACTTTAACTGATCTTTTTGGCTTATTACATAAAATCAAACGAGTTTGATTTGTCACCTGTTAAACTTTGCAGACTCAGTCTGGTAAAAAAAAAAAAACAACAAAAACAAGCACTTGAAATAAAAAAAATAGGCTTTATTCTCAGGCTTAGTTTTTGTTTTCTTTTGCAGAAGGGAAGGCTCTTTTTTTTGTACGAGAGAAAAAGCACAATGTTAGGATTATGTTTTTGCATTATTTAACTTCTTTTTTTTTAGTAGGAGTCTCTGTCACCCAGGCAGGAGTGCAGTGGCATACTGCTCATGGCCACCACAGCCTCGACCTGCTGGGCTCCGGCGATCCTTCCGCCTCAGCCTTCCAAGTAGCCGGAACTACAGGCATGCGCTACCACGCCTGGCTGATTTTTTGATTTATCATAGAGATGAGGTCTCGCTGCTCAGGTGGGTCTCGAACCCGTGGGCTCAGGCAATCCACTCACCTCAGCCTCCTAAAGGCACGGGATTACAGGCTGAGCCACCGAGCTCGGCTTGTATTTCACTTCTTAAATCAGTTATTTTCCAACATTTTTGCAGCTGTGACATCTTGTCACACTATTTTGTTGGACCTGGCACTTTCCTCCTGCTAGAAGTGAATGTTTATTCTTAAAATATGTAAATTAAATGGAATTAAAGCCAATTAAGTTTTGAGATGGCAAGAGAGGAATATTTTGGGAGGTATCTGTTGGTACCTCCTGTGAATTACAGTCTTATATAACCAGTCTCGCTGCAGTCACATGACAGGCAACCAGTGTTTAAAAAACACCATTGAGCTGGGAGAGAGGGTTTCTCATTCTAAATTTAATTCTCTCATTAAACCCTTATTAAATTTAACCCTCTCATTAAACACATTAGCCTGTGATACAGTTTTTCTCCTTTAGGGTAAAACATCCCAGAACATCAGTTTTGTTTATTCTCTTCAAAAAGCTGAACTTCCTCATACCTCAAGCACAGTGGCTTTTAGTAAAGGGCATCAGAGCAAATTTTTTATTTTAGAGGAACAAACTAGAAGCACTCTTACTTTGGAGATTGGGGGAGACTTGTGGGATCAGGTGAAAAGCAAAGACCTCCTAAGCCAGCTCTGCAGTGTTGCTTGGTGTCCTCTTAGTGTTGTCTCTGGCCTGTGGCGTCAGGGGAGGGCCAGGCTATGGTGGGGGCCATGTCTAGCTCTTAGGTCACCCTTTGTCCTAGTCTGACTAACTGTGGCTCAGTTCTCTGGGTCAGATCACACTAGGATTCAGTTACAGAAATGTCCCTTTCACGGCAATTTTTCCACTTGATCCTACTTTCTTGGTCTAATTGGTTATAGTGGTTCTTTGATTTAGGTGTTTCTGTTCTTAATTAGGAGGAAGGAAATTAACTTCTGCTATGATGGTTTTAGAAAAATTTCTGTAGAAGAAGAAAACTTTTCCTGGACCCTCCTAGATTCTGTGACTGGGGCCTTGTATATTAAAACAGACATAAGATTAAGGAGAGAAAAACAAATGCTTTAAGACATGCCGCATGCATTGTGTGGCAGAAACTTAGTGATGAGTAATCCAAAGGGATGGTTCAAACTTGGGCTTCTATCACGTCTTAGCAAAGAACAATCTGTTTGTGGAGAAGTGACAAGACAAAGGACAAAGGGGGAGCCTGTGGAAAGGTAAACATATGGGTGTGACTCATGGAGGCTGAAGGTTATTTCAATAAGGTTTGTTCTGTGGATTCCTCTCAGTGCTGTCCCTGGACTTGGAGAGTCTAGGGTTGTTCTGGTGACTAAGAGTCAAAGTCCTCTTTCAGGTACAGGCGCTAGAGACACTTTTACACGTGGAAATTATGTCCTGGTTTTAGGCCCATGGATCGGAGGACAGAGAACCTTCTTGGCGCCTGCTGTTTCTCTGTCTTCAGCTCAAAGTAATCCTTATGGCAAAGTGGCATCTTTTGGGGCAACATATTCTGGTCCTCGCACTTCGGAGTTAAAATACTTTTTAAAAAAAGGTCCTGAGGAGGCAGGGCCAGGGAGTGAGGGACCTGGCTGGTCTGTGCCTGCGGGCACAGCAGAAGCCAGAGGATCTGGGAGTTGGGACTTTCCTACTCATATCCTGACCTTTGACTACTCTAAAATTTAAGAAACTGCCCCTCTGCTTCAAGCTGTGCCTATAACTAGATGCTGCAATCCATGGAAATCGGGTGTCCATACAGTCAGTTTCGTGGCCCGCTCGGGAGCCACCGGGCCAGTTCCACGAGCCTGCCTAGTGCCGGTGTGCTGCAGAGCTTTCGTAGAAACCCCTTCATGCTGCGCTTCCAGAACAGGGAGAAGTCAGCATTTATCATACATTAGAGATGCTTGTATAAATAGTCATCTTTCTTAACTAAAACTTTAATCTTTTCTTTGTTTCTTTTTTTTGAGTTGGAGTCTCACTCCATCACCCAGGCTGGAGTGCCATGGCACACTCATGGCCACCCCAGCTTCAACCTGCTGGGCCTTGGCAATCCTTCTGCCTCAACCTTCCAAATAGCCAGAAATACAGGCGTGCGCTACTGCACCTGGCTAATTTTTTATTTATTGTAGAGATGCGGCCTTGCCAAGTTGCCCGGGCTGGTCTCATACCCGTGGGCTCAGGCATCCACTTGCCTCAGCCTCCCGAAGTGCTGGGATTACAGGCTGAGCCACCGAGCCCGACCAGGCCCTGGAATTCTTAATCAGGTGTTCATGTGGCAGTACCAAGAGGATATTTTCAGGGGAGAATTTTACAATGAGCTCCTAGGGGTGGGGAATCAGAATTCTGATCGTGACGATGAGCTGCCACCACTTAGGAGCAAACAGGATACAAGCTTCAGTTCTAGGCCCTTCTATCACCACCTTAAATTGTGGAGGAGACTTGCTATTTGTTATGAGTAAGGCCATTGCAAATTTAGATGCTTTGTTTCCCATAGACCTGAGTGCTTTGGGGGTACTTAAGACATCGGGAACCTTGGCCAGTATCCTTCGAAGACTGCAGAACGTGTCACAGGCACGTGTTGGTTTTACATGCCAGCATTTTTGAACCCAATGAAGGAAGGCCTTCAAGTTTTTTTTTTTTTTCCGGAAGATTGACCTTTAACTCAGCTTTGGTAGTTCTTCAGGGTTTATGCAATGAGTTCACGTGCCCGAGCCAATCATTTGATCTTCGTATCCCCGTAGGGAGGATTTAGAAAATGATCCCAGTTGGAGAGCTTTAGGCTTAGACGTCAAGTCAAGTGATTCGCCCAAAACCTCATGGACAGGAAGTGGCTGAGTGGGAGACCGGCTCTTGGGTTTTCTCACCCTGACCGCCATTTCTGTCTTCTCTGCTGTGGCCGTGATTCTGGGTGGTGGACAGATGACGTGGGTGAGCCATTCTCATTCCTCAGGCGTGTCTCGCGAGTCCCACCTGAAGTTGAGGCAGTGCAGACTCCACTGGGGGCCTGTGCCTGTCTGTGCTTCCTGCCCGCCCTCCTCCGCTTTCTCATTGCTCACTGAACAAGAGACCGTCATCTCTGTGTGTGCCAGGCTCTGATTGCGGAGGAGACGAGCAGCCGGCTCGCTGAGCAGGAAGAGGAGCCCGAGAAGTTCCGAGAAGCCCTGGTGAAGTTTGAGGCCAGGTTCAACTTCCCCGAGGCAGAGAAGCTGGTCACCTACTACTCCTGCTGCTGCTGGAAGGGCAGGGTGCCCCGCCAGGGCTGGCTGTACCTCAGCATCAACCACCTCTGCTTCTATTCCTTCTTCCTGGGCAAGGAACGTAAGTGAGGCCCGCGCCCGCCCTTCCCAGATAAAGTCAGCCCTGGGGATACTTGACGCGGCTGTGGGAAAGGCCACTGACCTGAAGAGTTAGACTTAGACAACCAAAGATTGGAATAAGTGGCAGAGTGTCAACAGGCGACACTGGATTGATTATATGTGCTGCTATTACCAGGGGTCTGATTTGGGGAGAACTCCTTTTTCCCACTGCCTTAAGAGACATTTCTGTGTTACTCACTTCCTGTAACTCCCAAAGGACTTTCTCTACCGTAGGCTGCTTTGAAAGCACAGTGTCACAACTGATGCTCGAATATTCCTTAAAGAGGAGAATATATTCCTGCTTCTCAACACAGAGGGACATTTAATAAATCTGCAGCCTGAAGGTCATGACTGCCCCCCTTGGAAGAGTGGCTGGATGCGTAGTTGCCTCCCGAAGGGAAGTCCTCACTTGGGTCCGCTTGAGAATCACACACCGATTCCCTTCTTACACATTTATCCAGTGATAGGAGCTGTCCTAGGCAGAGGGATCGATCCCAAGGTGAAAAAGAAAAGCCACAAGTGTCAATTGTATGTTGAATGTTTAAAAAGTCATTCCCATCGAAACTTCTTCCAGGACCAGATGTTGTTTCGAGTGTCCATGTGGGTGGCATGGATGCTGCATATATTATATATATATATAGAGAGAGAGATATAAAATTTTATATAGAATATAAAAGTTTTTCTCTCTGCCTTTACATTTCAAGTTGAACCAGTGGAATAGGCTCCTCTTGAATGGCCACCGTGGCCACCTTCCTGAACATGGGGCTCCTGTCTCTTCCCAGCTCGCCAACCTCAGTTCTCACGCTCCAGGAAATATGCCCTGTGTGCACAGCCCTTCCCCACCCTTGGATGGTGCTCTGCCCTAACCTTAGTTGTCCTTGCCTGCCTTCTTTCTGTTTTTTTTTTTTTTTTTTTTGAGTCAGGATCTCACTCTGTTGCCCAGGCTGGAGTGCAGTGGCATGATCACAGCTCATGGCAGCCTCAAATTCTAGGCTCAGGCGATCTCCCACGTTAGCCTCCTGAGTAACTGGGACTACAGGCATGTGCCACCATGACCAGCTAATTTTTTTGCTTTTTTTATGTAGAGAAGAGGTCTAGCCGTGTTGCGCCCAGGCTAGTCTTGGACCCCTGGGCTCAAGCAGTCCTCTTGCCTCAGCCTCCCAAAGTGCTGGGATTGCAGCATGAGCCACCTTGCCTAGCCTCCTGTCTTTTTCTTCTTTCCGAAATCCTTTTCAAAGTGAACACCCACCTTTCCCCACAGTTAGTCTATTTGGAAGTTTGTGTTCATTCTTCAAAACTCAATTCAGATGTTGTCACCTCCAGAAAACTTCCCCTGGTCCCTGTGTAACTTGTACCGTATTTGTATTTCTATGCTGGGTTCCACCAAGGCAGTAATTGCTTACTGGTTTGCATGTCTATTTCCTCTATTGGAATGAGCTCCTAAAGTATAGCGCTCTTCACACAGTAGATGCTTTGAGAACATCAGGGAACAAAAGCTGATGGTGTAGATGGAGAGTGTGTGGATGTAAAAAAAAATTTTTTTTTTCTTTTGTGAAAACAACTAGAAGTAGCTGAAGAAGCTTATTCTCAAGCTTGATGTAGAAACGTGGCCTTTCAAAATTATTAAAGCAGTGAAATCAGTATTACAAGATACACGGAAAGAAATGGTAGAAATAAAAACACTTAATTGATTCTCACTTTATTTGAAAAGGAAAATGAATTGCTTTCCGACGTGTATTAATTGCCACTAAACCTAGTTGTGGTGGGTTGATAAGATTTGGAAAAAATAAATAATTCCTAATATCTGGCAGTACTTCGCGTGTTGGCTGTTACGTGTGCCTCCCTGTTAGACCAGCAGTCACACGGGAGCCTTTCTGCCTGTCCTGCCGTGCCACCACTCACTAAGGCCTTCTTAGAAACATTTCTGAAAATAGAACACTTGCTTCTAATATGTACTGTTTGCACAGCATTGCTTTAGAGAGAATTTCATAAAAACTCCTTGTATGCTGTCTTCTAAGACACTGACAACACTTATTTGACATAGTCTAAATATTAAACCCATTTTTCTAAATGGATCATGAATAATCCCCTTTGACGCTCCTTAATTTCCCAGAGCTTACACCATGAATGCTGTTTTTGAAACCATGATTTATGTAGATTCGGAAATTTTTGCATAAGTACTGATGTTTAAATATTTTTGAGAAAGTTATGTGTTGTCATATATATTGGTGTTTCATAATAACGGGCAGTGTGCAGTAGTCAGTAACTTGGGAAGTTTTACTTACATGTTTAAGAGAACTTTTAGCACCCAAGTTGCATTTTGATCAACAGCTGTCAGGCAGTTCTGCATTCTTCTGTCCTGCTCTGGTTTAAAAGGTATTTGCATTTCAGCTAAAGGAAAGCTTTGGACAGTTGCTTGCTGACACACTCAAGTTTGGCTTGAGTTTTATGGCATAATGAGTATTTGCACTTTTGCTCTTACAGTTAAACTTGTAGTCCCTTGGGTTGACATCCAGAAATTAGAGAGGACGTCTAACGTCTTTCTGACGGATACCATCCGCATCACCACACAGAATAAGGAGCGCGACTTCTCCATGTTTCTGAACCTGGATGAGGTGTTCAAGATCATGGAGCAGCTGGCTGATGTGACACTCCGAAGGCTGCTGGACAATGAGCTCTTTGACCTGGACCCAGATTTGCAGGAGCCAAGCCAGATCACCAAGAGGTGAGCGCTTTAGTTCCAGAGTGTTGTCACCCATGGGGGACTCACGGCCTGGGCTCAGCCTCCATTTACATGTGCTAGATTTGAAATCCCCTTGTGACGTAATCCAGATTTTCTGATGTTGTTAGTTTTGACTGAGATATAATCATAGGAAAGGATCATTACTCATTTCCTTTATGCTTGATTTTTGGATTCAGTTCACCTCTTTTTCAGATAATTATTTCAAAACTGATTCCCATAAAAATGCTTCTAGAAAACGTAGTGTAGTGTAGTTGGTTCATGATAAAGTACTGTGCTTTGCTAGCAAACACGAAGACATTTTGTTTCTCTCTCTATTTTTTATTTTATTTTATTATTATTATTTTTGAGCTGGGGTCTCACTCTGTCACCCAGGCTGGAATATAGTGTCATGATCACACCTTACTTGCAACCTCAGCACCCTTGGCTCAAGCGATCCTTTCGCCTCAGCCTCCTGAGTAGCTGGGACTACAGGCATGCGCCACCATGCTCAGCTAATTTTTTTTGTTTTTGCTGTGTTGCCCAAGCTGATCTCAAGTGATTCCCTGCCTTGGACTCCCAAAGTGCTGGGATTACAGGCATGAGCCATCATGTCTGGCCCGTTTTGTCTTTTTATATTAAATTACTCTGTAGAAAAAGTTTTTAGGACAGCAGGATTTATTTTTGTACCACTTTGTCATCAGAAATATGCCTTACTAACAGTGTAAATCAATAGTCTTTATTATTTGTTTGCCACAAATTGATACTAACCATGAAGATTTGGGAGGCAGTTGTTTGAACTGTTTGTCAGTTTAAGGAAGTTCAGTTTTATTATCCAAAGTTCAGCGTATGATGTTTGAGCTTGACTTTGATTTCTGGGTTTGTGTTTCATGACTGGGTGACTGCTGCATTGATACAAAGGTGAACTATTATAAATGTGTCTTTCAAAAAACAAGTTACAGATGAAGTGCTGACCTGGCTAGATGTTTCTGATGTAGCCACAGAATCACCCACTGCTTTTTGAGTACCAGTCATCATTAAACGCAATTGTTTTTATTGTGATAAAATTCATATGACATAAGCTTTAGCATTTTAACTCTTTTTATTTAATTTATTTTTTTAGAGACAAGGTCTTGCTAAGTTGCCTAGGCTGGCCTCGAACTCTGGGGCTCAAGCGATCCCCTCCACCTTGGCTTCCCAAAGTGTTGGGATTACAGATGTGAGCCACTGCGCCCAGCCCATCTTATCCATATTTAAGTGTCATTAAGTTCAGTGTCATTAAGTACATTCATATTGTTGTGCAGCCATCACCACCATCCGTCTGCAGACCTCCTTTCACCTTACAGAACTGAAAGTCTGTACCCATTAAGCACTAACTTTCCTTCCCTTTTCCTCTAGGCCCTGGCAACCACCAGCCCAGGTTCTCTCTCTTTAAATTTGACTACCCCAGGTCCCTCATTTAAGCGGAATCATACAGTGTTTGTCTTTTTGTGACTGGCTTATTTCCTCAGTATAATGTCCTCAAGGCTCATTCATGTTGTAGCACAGATCAGAATTCCCTTCCTTTTCCAGAATGCTCTTCCTTTTTAAGGCTGAATAGCATTTCATTGTACGTGTAGCACACATTTAGCTTATCCATTCATCCGTTGGTGGATACTTGGGTTGCTCCCACCTTTTGGCAATTGTGAATTAATGCTGCTGTGAATGTGGGTGTGCACAGAGCTCTGAGATCCTGCTTTCAGTTCTCTTGAGTGTCTGCCTAGTAGAGGAATTGCTAAATCCTGTGATACTTCTATTTTTAATGTTTTAAGAACCACCAGTCATTTATTTTTTAAAAAATGGTAGTATTTACCTATGTTATCATTCTTGCATCCCTTATTTTTTGTTGATGATGAAAACAGAGATATGGTGCTTTTGCCTTTGAGGCACTTCTGCAGTGCAGCATCAGAAATTCTTTTTTTTTTTTTTTTTTTTGAGTGGGAGTCTCACTCTGTTGCCCAGACTGGAGTGCAGAGGCTGCTCCTGGCCACCGCAGTCTTGACCTGCTGGGCTCTGGCGATCCTTCTGCCTCAGCCTTCTAAGTAACTGGAACTACAGTGCGCACTACCACACCCGGCTAATTTTTTGATTTATTGTAGAGATGAAGTCTCACCAAGTTGCCCAGGCGGGTCTCGAACCCATGGGCTCAGGCAGCAGAACTTCTTACATGGCCATCGGCAGCATCTCATCATTTTTCTGAGCTTTAATATTTTAAATGTGGGCTGGATGATATACCATTACGTTCCTTTAAAGCTCTAAGGTTTGGTGTTCAGCAGTAATATGAAACAAGTCTTTTTAAAAGAAAAACAATTTATCATTCCTTAAACACATGCACTGTCTTCTCTGAATGTCTGGGGGAATGTGTTTCTTTTTAATTAATAGTCCATGAATGGCAGTGTGTAGAGTTTTTATGCATTCAGAAAGAATCCAGAGACCCTTCCTGCTGTGTGCATTTATTTTAAACTGATCATCATGTGTAAGGCAAAAATAAAAAATGCTCTTATTTGGGGGGTAAAATTCCAATGAATTTCACATGGCTTTGTGTCATCTCTGATAATCTGACAGTTCCCTCTAGAGACCGAAGGTGGGAAGGGGATGCTTGTCACTCCCTTATGAAAGGGTGCACTTGGGGCACTGTCCTTTGGTTTTCTGACTCTGTGCCTCTTGGCCCTATGCTTACCATCATTGTCTCTGCGTCAGAGACCCTTCCTGCTGCATCTTAGGGGCACCTGTTGTGTTTTTATTATTATTTTTAGAAATTATTTTAGATTCAAGTGGACCATGTGATGGTGAGGTTTGAGCTTATGTTGGGCCAGTCACCCAGGTGGTGAGCATGGTACCATGGGGGGTTTTTCACCCCTAGCCCCTCCCCCTTTCTCCCCTTTAGGAGTCCCCTAGTGTCTGCTGTTCCCATCCTGAAGGGGCATGTGTTTTAAAAGGAAGGTGACAGTGTGGTAGGTGCCGCACTCTTCCATATTTCTTCAAGTATCTCTGCAACAGTGTGTGTCTGAGTCCTTATCCTCCAGCTTGGATCTGTAGAAATGGAAAAACCATGGTTACAGCAAGCCCTTGAAGAAACCAAGTTGGGGTTGTGTGAGTTGCCAAAGGGCTCATGTGAGCCGCCAGTGAAGCTTCCCCCTCTCTCCCTGTGTGTGTGCAGGGGTGTGTGTGTGTGTGTGTGTGTGTGTGTATTGCTTTCACATCGTTTTAGGTGCAGGAGGCTGGCTGACAGCCCTGTGTGTTCAGGTCAGCCCGTGGGCACTGGGATTTCAAGTGATTCCTCACAAAGATCCTGACATCCCAGCACGTCTTCACTTCGAGACGTGTCATTTTTGGGGTGAAGCAGAAGTGAGAAAAGATGAAGATGATGAGGGCCTGTAGCACCAAGGACCTTTGTGGTAAAATGATCCGTTTGGGAAGAAATGTCGTCAGTTGGTGGCCTTCAGTTGCATTCCAGAACTCAGGGGAATTCTGCAAGGCTGCTCCCCCTCTGTGTTCTACCTGAGAACCACCAGAAAACGAGAGAGAAAAGGACATAAAGGGCACCCTCGTGTCCAGGGGCGGAGCTTCCAGGGAGCCCGCAGGTGCCTAGGACTGGCCCTGGGAGAGGCCGTGGGATTGTGGCCACAGCTGGTGGCTGCACAAAAGTGGAAGGCAGGTCCCATTGCCTCCCAGTTCCCCAGGTTTCATTTGTAGATTTTGTCATGGAGACGTAGGCCTGTGGGTATAAACAGGTAATGACTCAGTAAACTTGACACCCTGCCAAGAGAGCCCAGGTTTTAAAGTTGAGGAAAACAGCCTCTCCAGGCTCTGGGCACCGTCAGAAGTGCTGGAATGCTGCTCCTGCTCTTTGCCTGATCCATTTTCTCTTCCCTCCCCAGATACAGCAGCTTTAGAAAGGTGCCCTTGGGGTCACGAGCAGGGTGAGCCATCTGATTGCTGGATTCCTCACAATTGCCGTGTGCCGTCACCCCAGCAGGACTCAGGGACACAGGGCAGAGCATGGCACGTACCTCGTCACCCCATGATGTGATTAGGCAGGTTAGAGCTGCCAGGGTGTGCGAGCTGTGGGGTTCATGCCTTACACTGTGTAGAGGAGGACATGGACCAGGGCTTCTCAAGAGTGTAGTGACAGCCACAAGAGCAGAGTGACTGCGGGTGGGAGGAGCTGCCCAGAGGGAGGAGGGAGGAAATACACAGATGGGTCCTGAAATTTTAAAACAAAATATCTTGAAGTCGGGAGTGGTGGAAAAGCAAAGTGTATTCGGCACTTTTTTGGAGGGTGGTAGCTGGGAGAGGTGACGGGCTTCACTAAAGTGAGTTAACGTTTGTCTTGACTTGCTGAAGGAGCTCCTTCTGCCGTGTGCAGCAGTGGATGATGGCAGCCTGGGGGGCAAGCGTTCTCGGCGGTGAGCCCGGTCCCCGTCTCCCATCTGGATGGCTTTGCAGACCCTCCTCGTTTTCCCCTGCAGACCCACCGCCTCGCTCTGCTTTTTCCCTTCAGCCCCCACTAGGAGTGCCCAGGCCCACTGATTCTAACTGCAGCCCTCCTCTGCCTCAGAGTCCTCTCGGACCCACCAAGACATCTCTCGGGGGCTCCACAGCCCTGACAGCCCTCAACTTGGAAGGGAAGACCCCACATCTCGCCTTCCACAGCCCCCGGGCCTCGAAGTGCTCAGAGATAGTTTGCGGATTGGCTCTGGTGCTTCTCTCCTGAGTGGGGTAGACAGGAGAGGACAGAGGCAGGAACCTTTTCTTGAGAGTGAGAAAGTCTTAGGGAAGCCCGGTGGTGTGTGGGTCCTGTTCTCCCAGGGGCTCCATGCAGATGGGTTTCCAAAGGAATGAGGGGACTTTATGCCAGCACCTGTCATCTGAGAGCCGGGTGAGTCTCATGTCCCATGCGAGATAAGTGGTCCTGGGCTGCTGTGTGTCTGCCCAGGAAGAAAGATGTTCTGAATGAGAGATCT